TTTTCTTCCACTTGTATGTAGGAGAAAAGGGATACACTGAAAAACTGGTTTTTACTTCTTTCCTCACAGGCATTATTTGAATCAAATTAAAAGCATCTGAAGCAGTCTCAGAACTCCCAGCAGTGTCACACATCAAAGAATTAGTATATTTAATAAATGGGTTCATTAGGCAGGAGTCAGAACCAAAGACAATACATTTTTAATGTCACATATAAAAGGGCTGTTGTATTCAGTGGAAACAATTATGAGTATCAGCGTACAACTCTCCCAGCAGACTCTTTCCATTAAAGTTTGTCAGTATACCTCGAAACATGCAGAATATTGTCACAGATCACAGTATGACTAACACCTTTATTGTTAGGTTAAAGCCATCTACAGAATCATGAGGGTGTTTGAATTACAGACACTTTTGGCAAGGAGCCATAGACAATCCAGCACATATGCAATAGCATATATAAAGGGAGGGTGAAATAGAACTGGCACATGAGAGTACACTATTACCAGATAATATTTAAACTTTTATGTCCAATTGCACATTACTTAAATCCCATCCATAAATGATTAGCTTTTCTATATTCATCATTCTACAAAGAACTCTGAGCATTTAAAATAAGATATTACAACTAACCTGATGAAGGTCATTACCCAGTGCATATTCTTGGAAATAACCTGGCGCCGCAGATGATGCTCTGATAGCTTGCCATAATTTATAATGGCAACCTCCAAGATAGTGAGATTTTACTCCAGGGAAGTGATTGTAATTTCTAAATACAAAGGCTTTCAGTGGTGTTCCTCTGCCTACAATGGTGCTTATGGCAGCCACCTAATAAAAACAAAATACTAAATTTTATCAAATTATAGCTGTTTGTCCAATTACGGCTATCCCTGTCTTACAACAATCAGCTCAATAAGCCATTAACACATTAGATCAACCTAGGATTACATCATTCATATTCACACACACACACACACACAGAATAAGTGGATGGAGATTAAAATATCTTCACTGAGTCCAGAATTTATTTATTTTTAATAAAGTATTTTTTCTAGGCAGTATTATGTCTGAAGGCACTACCTGATATAGCTTCAAATTCATACAGTAGTAGAAATAAAATAACCCCCCTGCCCATCCCTCCATCATGTCCCTGTATGTTCCATTTCATCAGGTACTAGCCTTTGTCTTCTGTAGCCATGCATTTTGTCCAGTTTTGATACTCACAATATATTTTTGATACAGGTGCATATAATGAAATGTGAAATTATGATATTATTGAAAAAGGAAGCAAAACAAATCTTTCTCATTTCTAACAGAATTACATTCACATCACACTCAATCTTAAAGCATGCTAATTGTTACTCTTTCTCATAAGAAGGTCCATCCATCGCTGTAAGTCAGTTTTCTTAGGAACAAAATAGAACTGAACATAAAATGAAAGTGAATAAAATCTTTATCATGCTTCAGAGATTATAAATTCGAAGGGAATGTATTATTGTTTCCCAGCATAGAACAATAAGCACTGGGTGTTCAAGGCCTCTGTATAGTGATAGATTGGACACAAGCTGACCAATTCTATGTTGAATTGTTACTCCTACTAAGTTAGTGAATAAACATTTCTATGTATTTCCTAGTGCACAGACTTGTCTTTGTCAGTGAGGCACTTACCAGCAGTATTTGTTATACCTCTGTTGTTTTTCCACTTGCCTAATCACAAAATACAAAATGCTATTCAAGTAAATTAACAAATCCAAGAGGTCTCTTACATCTCCTAGCCAACCCTGGGGTAACATGTCGGGAATTAAAATCAGTACATAGGTGGAGCTGAAATACAATGAATTTCTTTTTCTTGCATAAGACATCAGCAATGCAGAGTTCTGATTGGTGTTGACATAGCCAATACTTTTAGCAAATTAATGAAGCAAAGTACACTAATCTAAACTTCACAGTGTTAGAAATTATTGAAATGGGTTGAAATATTATTCTGTCAGCCTAACAATGTTAGGGGAAAACAAATAAGTAAAGTGACTCGACTCTAAGTCTCAAAAAACATAAAAGAACATGGCCAAAAATGTTATGGGGGGAGAAGCTAGTTAAACAAAAGACGTTTGAAAATGGGCTGGATCTGAGAAAAATATATGGAAACACTCCCAATGCATCTCTTCAGGACAGGCATCTGGACAGTGGACTGGAATGTTGCTGATTGTTCCATTGTAAGCTCAACCCTCCTGGTCAAAATGGACCATACGCAGCTGGCTCTCTGCTTCCCAGTGTACACATATCACAAAAACACACAGAAACAAGAGGTAGGCAGAAGCACAAGGAGAAGCAACATATAATATATATGCAAGCAGATTGATTAGTCTTGGGAGATTTGGCAACATACAAGTCTGGCAAATCAATCAATCAGTCCATCCGTCCGTCCGTCCCTAGGGTGAATCTGCGCGGATGCAACCCTCCCACCCATTACTTCATTATACAGAAATTCCAGATGTCTCCTATGGCTACCACTGGTAGGGGTTGGAGAGAATTCCAGAAGCCATGCTCTGCATGCTTTCCCTATCTTGTTATTTGTTGGATAAATTAGTTTGAGATAACTGTGCTAAAGCATCAATTAAAAAAAAAAAATTAAATATATAAGTCATTTAATTCTGTAAGCCACCTGGAGTCACCACGTGTGAGTTGGGTGGCCATATAAATTTGTTTAAGAAAAAAATAATAAAATAAAATAAAATAAAATAAAATAAAATAAAATTACTTTTTATTAAGTAATGCTGGAAGGAATTATAGACAAGAGCCTTTTCTATTACAGTGTTACATTTATAAACTCTAAAGGACTGTATGTGTGTGCATGTACATACATGTACATGTGTGTGTATACACACACATGTACGTATATACATGTTCTTCAACATAGATTTTTAAATGGACTCTGAATGCTTTTTCATTCTAAACAGCTCTTATTCTTTTAAATTGTACTTTTAACTGGGTTCATTTAACTATTTTAAGATGGTTCTTTTACATCTTACACTTAGCTGCTTGTTTTTATATTATACTGTCTATCTGTTGATATAACTGCTGCTGTTGTAATATTATTAGATGGCTTGTAGGTCATGGTTTTAGCTCTGTTGTAGGATAAAATGAATCTTAGTCTTTCAAAGTGCTGTAAGACATCTTTGAATAACAGCCTATAAATATTAAAATAAATTTTTAAAAATCTGAAGTATCCCCTAAATTACTAAACTAGGAAAAGGCCACTAGGTGCAATCTAACTATTTTGACAACAATGATCACAATCCTTTACTCTAAAAGTTTGGTAGCAGTAGCTGACAGAAGTTCAAGAAAGTCCTAACTGACAAAGACAAACTGTTAGGCTATTTAAAATTGACCATCCTTTCTTTTTTTAAAGGAAGGGAGGAGGAAGAATGGATATCAATACTGCACTGTGTAAGACATGATTAAAAATAAGTGGCAAGAAGTTCAAGACAAGGAAAATAAACTTACCTTAGGGCACTTAGGATTTCTTGCTGTTTCAAACATAACATCGGATCCCATTCGTTCCCTACACAAACCAGATAAATTGCTATGGTTACAATTTTAGAGTTTGCTATGTCTGCTCTTGCTCGTAAGAATTACAGCTCTCTTGATCAAGTAAAGACAAGGTTTTTGCATCCATCTGTCTAGCTGGATAAAAATCAATGTATGAAAGTATGTGCTAAAAGTGAGAATTAGCTTTGATATATGTCTGATTAGCATAGTATCCCGATCACTGAATGATATAATTTCCATGGATAATTTCTACTGCTTATGATACATATTTTAATTTTAATAACACATTCTTGTTTTTTTAAAAAAGAACTTAAATACCGAGTGCCTTTGGGATTTAGAATCAGTTCAGTAAAATGATTCTCTCCACTGTCTAGTACCATTCTTGTTTCTTTTTACAGAAAGAAGTAACAACCCATTATAGTATGTCAATATTAACAGTTTTTCTTGACAGAGAAGGTTATTTAAAAATAATAACTTTTAAAGTAGTGACAATCTTGACTTTTCACAAATAGTGGTTAGACATACATTCAGAAAACAACACTCAAATTCATTTGCATAAAGAAATAAATAAAATGTCATCATACAGTTTGCTAGAGCTGAACTAACGTAACTATTTGATATACATTTCTACCATTAATATCAAAGGTATGCAAGAAAATCTGTATTTAAAATAAGGAGGCATCATATGATGACTTGGTAATGGAACTAACAATCAAAGGATAGCTACATAAAACATCTCTTCCCAGATTATATTCTAGCAGTAGAAGAGAACTGGAGGGCAGGAATTTGGAGGTGTAGGTGGAAGGATGAATCTGATGGAGGCTCTGAGGTCTACCTTGGGAATGTTCTTCTCCCTTGCCCTGGTCAGAAAGACAGGTTTAGGAATATTATTATGCCAGTGCAGACTAGTATTGATGGAATTCAGATACTTTGTAAAGTTAGTAAATCTGTTTAAAAACAAGTTTAATTCATTCCTTTGTTTCTATGTAGAACAACTATCTGCCCTATCATAATTATTCCCACCCCTATATACCCAGTTATGCTACCTCACAGATACAGACTTCAAAAATTCTAAACCACAAAATGGGTTTAATGGTGACAGAAGAACAAAAACATAACAAAGAAAAAGACCTCCACAACAAGGACGGTATGTGATGCAGTGTCAGGTGGATTGCTGCCCTTTTGTTGCCTCCATAACTCAAATACAAATTTTCTTAGGGACCGCATGGCTACAGTGCAAGTCTAGGAAAAGGTGTGGGTTCTTTAAGGAGCCACCCAACAAGCAGGCCCATATCAGATAAAAAAATACTTATCCTGTTTTAGATTCAAATATAATCCTCTAATTAATATAACAGATAAAGAGTTCTGTTTTATATTTTGGACCATACTGAAGGAAACATGATTGGCAAATAATTTCATATTAACTTACTTAAGCATTTTCTCCCATATTTCGCTGTCATAAAATGCGTGGCTCCATCCCATTTTAACTGTTCCAACAATGACATTTTGCTTAAAGACATCTGTTCCTAATTTTTGGTAAAGTTCTTCACATTCATCCAGAGGGATATGGAATAATCCCAACATAAATGCCAATATAGCACCTGAAAATAAATATTTATAAATATGAATGACAATTTAAATGACCATCATCTTATACAAGGATTAGCCAGCTAAGGTTCCAAGCCACATATATCCCACCAGAATCTCTCTTCTGCGGCCCTTAGAGACTCCTTCATCTACCACTGGTAAAAAAATGGTACCAGGGATTCCCTTGATTCTGAGGCAGGAAATGACTGAAGATTACCCTATGCTGAAAGAAAGCTTGATGTAATATTAAAAGGAAGACCTCAGAAAAATCCTGATCCTGGCTACATGCCTGACATGGCCCCACCCAATTTGCATAATCATTCCTCCCACTGCAGCACTCATCTTGCCCAAAAGTATTAGTATATATCTCAGCCAGCAAAAAGTTATCCTAATTATTCTTTATAGCAGTGTTCTTGAACTTGGAAGTTGCAGTCCAACACATCTGGAAGACCAGAGTTTGTGAAAGGATGGTTGATAACATAACAGTTTTGTCTATAACATTACAGTTTTTATAAATGATTTTTTTTTCTCCTTTTAACCACATAAAAGGATTATATATTATCTGTTCTGAAGATTTGCAGACCTCACTGAAGGGATCTTTGTGAAAAGCAATGAATGATAATTAACGATTCATGTATAGCCCCACCTAGTGTTTAAGAAAATAGTATGAACCCTGAAACATCGATTGCCGGCTCTATCTAGTCAGTGCTGTAAGATCTGCAGTACTTTATTACTAAAAATTTTATCAAATCAACCTGCTATCCTATTTAGACATCTTGTACAACAAAACAGAAAGGGCAGGAATACAGTGTTTGCAGACAAACACTTGATTCTGCCTTCTTGCATATGCTTTGGAGTAGTACTTTGTTCTGAATGTGTATGTGTGAGGAGTTAGCTGTACACTTTTTGGTCAAGAATGACCTACAACAATAAGTCACAGTGGAGTTCTGTATGGATATGTTCTGCTATTTCCCATTTTATTTTCCTGGGGAACTGCTTTGATACCTTTTCCTCCCATATTGACCTACTACTTCTCTGTTGTTCTGTTTGGTTCAATAAATTTTATGTGATATGCAAATCTAAAAGAAAATTAAAGCATCTTTAATTTTCAGTAGATCAATATCATTTCCAAAAAATAAATAAATAAAACAATGGGCTTTTCCCGTCATTACAATATTTTCAGGAAAATTTACCTGTACTCACTCCACAAATGTAGTCAAAAAGTTGATGAATGGGCTTTCCAGTGAGCTCTTCTAATTTACGAAGAGTCTGAAGTGCCACTAAGCCCCTAAAGGATATGAGAAATGAATGGGCTGTTATGCAAGTTATAATTTGCTAAGCAAAAACCAAGCATTTAATGCAGTTGTTATTAGGAGCTGTGCATTCTATCATGTAGGACTGAATCAATAACATTCCACTTTGTTGTTCCACAAGTGAGAAGGCTTCAATATGCCGTGCACCCCATCCCAAAAGACAGTTTGGGAACTCACTGGAACAGCCTTTGGGATGTATGACATACTGGGTCATCAGGAGAATAATGGACAATCTATTGACGAACCAAAGTGTGGTTAAGAATAGAGGTACCCATAATCCTGAACACCTGTCTACTGGCATAACATGGTGTCATGGTTTCCACACAGCACTTAGCCATGGTTAAGAATTGCATAAACCACAACTAACTGGGTTGTGTAAACCAGACTTTTCCTAACAAGGGACCTTCCAAATGTAGGAAATTTCCGTTACCAGAGTTGTCAGCAGCAGCTATTCTAATTAGGGAATTCTGGGAGTTGGTCCACTGATACAAAGAGTGCCCAGGCAAGGGAAGGCTGAGATAAACCATAAACTATGGTTTATAATCCACAACTGTGGCTTTATACAAACTAAGCAAATTCAAATAGAATAGTGTGATGTGTGACCCAGGCTAGTGACTAAGAAACTAGCAGTGCAAACCTGTACATCTTTACTTGGAAGTAAGTCCTACTGGAGCTTAGCTTAATGCAGGAAGGTTTCACAGACTTACAATTCACCATGCTTTCAATTAAGACCTTTAGTATAAAGTCACAAATCCACAGGGTAAAAACTTTTATCAGGCAAATGGAAAATTCAGATTTTCCAGAACTCTTCACCAGGCTATGTGTCACAAACAGGGAATATAAAAAGAGAATATTAAAGAAAAATATTTGGCCAATGTTGAAGTCAAACCTACACTAGTTTAGGTCTTAAATGGAATGGGTGACTGCCTCTAGAATGCAAACTGCATATAATTGGACACAGAGCAGTATCAGATGACCCAGTACCACATGACCCTCAACATGTGCTGGGAAGAAAAGAATAAACTGAACATAATTCATTTTAAAAAGTACATATTATAGTCACTAAAGTCTTCAATGTGGCCATATCTATGCAAGACGCTTGGATCTGGGAGTTGGTAAAAAAACAAAGTGAACAAGGGAGTTTTCAAATTCCGCAGGATTGTAATATCTAGCAGGAGGAATAATTCTAGAACATTTGAAAGCTTGCAGCTTATATAAAACCACAGTTGGCCTACTAAAGATTTTACTCAGTGAATTTGGAATTTTTGATTTTACTATTTTTTAATTCACAATCAACATGGCTATTTTTGGGGGGGTGGAAAAGTAAAGTATTGATACAAGTACAGAATACTTAGATGCAAAAATATTCTCAATAAATTCTGAAGAAAACAAGTTTCAAAAAAATCCTAGGAAAAGTGTTAGACTTACAGGTGAAACTCGAAAAATTAGAATATCGTGCAAATGTTCATTTATGTCAGTA